AATTTTGCAGCAGATGGAAGCTGCCATTAAAGATTATCTCTGATTTAATATGTCATAAATAATCTTTCAGAGAGCAATTGGCTCCAACAGAACAACACAGACACAGCAGTATTTCACTGTTTTCAGTGGGCAGCCAATTTATTAATACGTCTGATTTAATACAGGCACGCGACTTTATTAGCAGTGTTTAAATGCATACAGAGTGCTGGGGTGCACCTATAATTCTGAGATTCATCCAGTCGAGGCAGGGTTTGCAGTGCATAAATTCAATAATGTGCTGGAGCTGGTGTTTAACTTGTTTTAACCTTAAATAATTCTTCCCTGTCCTTACCTGACAACTCCCCATGCCCACACAGAGAAATGATAATTTCTCAGTGAGCAGAAATCTCCCTGCACCATTAGGCACTGTGATAGTGTTACTTCCTTTTATTAATGAACAGTAATTTGCATTCTGTAATGATATCTGTATTATAGGCACCTTTAAAAGCCTCACACATTGCTCAGTCTACCAGCCCTTTTATCTACCTGAAGTATTTCTGTCTTCCAGGGTCACACAAGTATCACCTAACAAAATCTGAGCATCTCAGGATCCCAAAGGCCCACAGTCAAAACATTTTCATTTTCAAGCATCACAAAGGAAATTCATGTAATCTAATCTTAAATTGTTAATTGTTAAACCTGTGATATTGTATTAGATATGCTACTACCCAGTCCGGGCAAATTGTGAAAAGCAGAAAATGTGTCCTGGGGATGGTCATCACAGGTTGGTTGTCCAGAAGAGGGCGCTTTATAAAAAAAATCTGTCCATCACATCAGACTGTAGATGCAGACCCTATATCTTATACAGCCTAGTCACTCTGCACTCTATAAGAGGAATCACAGTGTTAGTATAACGAATACACTATTTTCAAAGAAGCTGTTCTGTGCCTTTATCAAAGGAGAGGGACGAAACACAAATGCATCACAATAAATAAAGTTGCACTTCATTCACGTCTCTACAAAACACACCAAAAGTGTGGAAACAGCATCCGTCGCCTTACACTGCATGGGTGCACCCCCTCTCCTCTGCCTGTGTGATTCACATTTTCATGGCCACAGCCCTGTCTGTGCACTGAGGGAGAAGCAAAAATTCAGTGCCAGCAATTACCATCAGACAAGGGTGTTGCCGATTTGCACCCAGAAACAGCATAGAGAAGGAATGTTTTCTGATGGTGCAAATAAATAAGTTGTAATAGACAGTCACTTAGTGACTTGGTAGTAAGCTAAACCATTAACACTGACAGGACAGGTCATGCAGCAGAACAGCTGAGACAGTGCAGTGTCTTTATCAATCAGCTTGATGCCAATTACTCTGCTCAAGCTTCCAACCAAGTTGGACCAAAGAGTAAACCCACTAAACACCGCTGTCAAATATTACTCTCCTATATGTCATGCTAATTTAACACTGAGACTGACTGTGAGGTGAGGTGATATTGTGGTGTGCACAGCTCCTTAAATTTCTACTGAACTGTTATCAAGACAATTTAAATGAGTCATATCCAACATGCAGGAGATCGTGTTTAAAACTTTATTCACTTTTCAATGTCCTTATGAGATTTACCACGCTGTGGAAAGCTTTTTATGCACAATAGCAATCTGCAAGAAAGACTCATTTGCTGGTTAGGAAAATGAAAAGAGGATTTTTTGACTGAGGCCATTTAACAATGAAGTCCTCCTTATCACTGCAGAAAACCTACAAAGTATTCTTTCAGTTTTCCCATGATTGTACCACGTTTATATCACTTTGTTTTGCCACAGGTTCCCATTTGTCTTAGCTTCACCATACTGCTCTGTGCTCTGAAGCAATTTCACTAAGCTGCTGTACAATTTACTGTAGTTTTACAACTGTATGACAAAGCACAGTAGGACTCTGTCAGGGTAAATCTGTTGTGTTGCCACTCGGTGTATTAAGCAGTGTAATACAACTTCCCGGTCCACAGTAAATGAGGGATGCACAGCTGTCGCTAAGCTCAGGGCTATAAAACACTGCCGAGATTCCCCTCTCAGTGGAGATCTGGCAGGCTAAACAGCTGAGGACCCATGCTGGCAGGCAGCTGTGCCTGGCACCTTGCACGGGCACTCTTCTGCAGAGCTGTCACCTTCGGGCTCCAGACAGTGGTTAGAGTTATTGCGCCGAGGCTGTGCTTGCAGCAGCACAGACAGTTGTGAGCCGTATGTTTCCTTAGTACTTCCCGTCAGCACATGTCAGAAAGCAGACCGGGGGCTGAGGTTTGGAGACCAGTGTCTTTGAGAACTCCCCATTTTCTTTTTCCGTCAGCTTTAAAGCCGGCTGGCTGAGTTCACAAAAGTAAAAGGTCAACAGATGCATGGAGGTATTTTTAGCAGAGCTTTTTGTTAAGATAATTAGGGATCTAAATCCATTAAATAGTCTTCAGATGTGTCTGCACCACCTAGATTATGCATTTCTGATCATGTTTTGCATTACTAAAAGCACATACTCTGTAACAAGTCACGCAAAAGCTTATCATTGCCAATTTAATATAAAGGAGTAAACATAAAGGCACACTCATCTACTTTCTCTGCATATACTATTTACAGTACTGGATTTATTTCAAAGATGCAAGTTACATTTGCATTTATCACTCAACATTCCTTTGGAGACGTTATCTAGACCGCGCAGCCAAAATCAATCAAACCTGCCAAGCTTGCAAGCAAGTCACCGTCATTAATTAGATTCCTTCGCTATTATCATTGCCACGCCCATATAGTATTGTACAAAATGTATTCATTTCAGACAAGGGCACAACAATGAGAGGGCAATGAGTTGTTCGCCACCTATTACTCCACTGTGGCATTTTTACAACCCATTCCTTTCCCCAATCTGTTCGCCTTGTCTAAACCCACTGAAGGACCACACGGAAGTCTCTACCACTGATAAATCCCAGCCACCTTCAAAGAAAGGAAGAGGTCAGGCAGGGGTTCCGTTATTGTTTTTGAATACTTTAACAATGGGTAGACTGTCAGACTTGGGCATGACTGATAAGCAAGGTATTATTTCCTCAGGGGGGCTCTGCAAAACACCAGAAATAAAGCCATTATGATCGTAAGGACCCACTTCTGGCTACTGTGAAAGGCAACGACCATCACTATAAAGCTCGATTCATATCAGCATATCCACCGCATACCGAACTGGGATTCATCCCTTCTCATATTTATTAAAACGTGTCATTGCAAAACCATGGGGGAAGCCTGGCTGCTAAGCAGTAGTGAACTACTGTATCTTCCCTGTGTTACCACTTCCCACTATGCAATTTGGTCAATGCTGACCGTAATGCATACAAGTCAAATGCCAAATGCCACAGTCAAATGTGGCACCAGGGAAGTCTCGACTGTATTGAAAACCTCAACCTACAGTCTATTTCAATATTCAGAAAGGAGAATTCTGAATAATAAACATAATAAATATATTGAGAATTATGTCTTTCATGTTGAAAACAGAAAAGCCTAAAAAAAAACACATTTTTGCATTAAAAAATGTGTTAAGTCCCTATTTCAAGAAACCAAAATGTATCGCATTCTAGATATCAAGCCTACTTGTTAGCCCTTTCGAAGTTACAAAATACAATTTAATTCTGGTGCTGTAAAAAAAAATCTATTATAATTTAACTCATGTAAATTAATGTTCTTGATATGCATTTAAAACTCTATTTCACCAAGTCACCTCTTATATCATTACATTTTCAGTCAGTCTTGTACTACACTATACTGTATGTCTAGTTACACTGTATGTGTATGTATTTACTGTAAGTACTGTGTATCTCATATACTGTACATATTTTCTCTCTGTAGATTCCAATTTGGCCTGAACAAAAAACACAAAAAAACTAAATTATAGGGCAAGCACATTTGAGTGCTAAAATTAATAGATATGCATAGAACCACATGTAAAGTTCACACCAAAATGCAGCAATAAACAGAGTTTACAGAGTCTTTGCAGAACCTGGCCTCATGATCACACTTGCGCCAGATCATTTTTATTAGAACAATAAATATTTTAAACTCTAATCCCTTGTGCATTTTAAACTCTAATCCCTTGCCAAACACCTGTAATCTGATTACAACTGCTGTTCATAATTGAGAGATGTCTGTATTCAAGAAATCTTTATTACTTATGAAGGCTAATTCTGGGAAAATAAACAAGCTTTAGTTACTCCAGCACGATGAAAGCCGGCTTTCAGGGCAGCACTCTCCTGTGTTCCCATGGAATTGCTGGAATGATGCTTGTTTCTGTGCTCAAAGTCCCGTATTCCATTAAAGCCCTTCTTCAAAATCATTCCAAAAATAAAGGTAAATAGTTTTAATCAACATCTTGTGTATTACTATTTCTTCTTAACTGATTATACTGGCTTAGAGTTTTGAGACAGTGAATTTGGATCCAAAACTCACGAGGGGGAATATTATGTTCCAATGACAATCTTGCATTGAGCACATTATGAACATCAGTGTGGTATAAAACAATGCTGCAAGATTTGGTTATCAAAGTCATTCCATCTGTTATTGCTTTAATTATTCAGAGAATTGAGCACATGATGAGCACCAGTGAAGGATTCAGCTAGTAATTTAAAGTAACTTTTGAACGGAAAATTTAGCTACAAGATCAAAGACTGTCGCTGCCTCACATCAAAAAACAGATTTTCTCTGTAAAATACATCGATTCTCGCAATGTATGTGCTCCGGAGGAGGCAACAGAGCTGGTGCAATACTGTATATCCCGCAGCGCTCGTCAGTTTAATTAATTGGGGGAAAAAAAAACAAAGATGCAAACACTACAGCCTATGCTAATATATTGTGTGAGCATTATTCAGCTGACTAAAACACCGCCTGGTGACTTCATTTAAAAAACTTTATTTTAAAAGCACAGCCCTCAATGAGTCACATAAAACAGCCGATACCAGATGGAGAAAATACATTTCACTTGATTGTGTATGGTTTCTCTGGTGCATTGACGCTGCAGTATTTCTTTTTTTATTAAAATGACTGCAGATTTCAATGAGGAAATGGTTTATGCAAACTAGCATAATGACAAGTCGTAGCTGCTATTTATGCTATGGGAAAGTTCACTTTTATGTGATCGCTTCCTGCTATTGCGATAAAAAGAGACGCAGAAAGTAAGTCGCAGTCAAGGACGGATGACATATCGATCCCTCATGGACAGAGTGATCCGGGAATAGTGGTCGAGGGTAGGAAGAAAGGGGACGTTTTTCCGCATCCTGATGGAGACACGGAGGCTGCACAGGGGTGGCATTTGAATTCCGCTCGCAGCTCGGCACTGGCAGCAGCAGGCTCCGGAAATCAATCACAGTTGACAGCGGATGGCACAGCGGGGGTGTCAACGCATTTGTTAAGGTTCGGCTGCCAGCCGGGCTCCCATTCATCTCCCATAGCCCGGCAGTGAGAGACAGGCGGGAGCAGCGCAGCGAGCCGCCCTGAGGGGAGGCTGTACGATCAGGACGAGCGGTGAGAGCACTCGAGGGTACAGCGGGGCAGAAGATGGGTGGGTGGGAGGATGTGTTTGTGACAGCATCAGCCAGAATGTGCCATCGCTTCCATAAATCACACCAAGCAGGTAGGCACTCGCGTCACAGAAATTACAGGTCTCACGTGGCAGCGTGGGTGTGCAAAGCCTTCCCTTGGAGCGATCGTCGGACATCACATTACTTCAAGAATCTCTGTTTACCTCCTCTCGGTGACAGCTGGTTCAGCCCTCACGTGAAATCAGGCTTCAGAAAGATGTCTTTCCTCCTCTGGCAGGCTTTAAACACCATCTTACTTCTTCAACTGTTTTCCCGAGAGGGGATAAAGGACCTTGACTCAAGTTCTCACAACCCTCTCATTTACCAGGTCACCACAATAAAGAGACTAGATAGGCTGACTTTGCAATCACAGTGTTGTGTTTCAAATTGCACAATGGCTCATGAGTTGATTCCGTTCTGGGATACTTTCTGTGTGGAGTTTGCATGCTGTCCACTTGCATCTCCGCCAAGTGCTGTGGTATCCTCAAACAATCCAAAGAAATGTGTGTATCTGTTTTTTTTTCACATGTGCATGTGTGTTCTGGTGTCCTGTCCAGAGTGATGTTCTTCCTTGTTCCCTGTGATTCCAGAGTGAGGCTCCAACTCACTCACTTTTAACCTTAAAGTGGTTTCTGAAAATCAATGAGCAGAAGCTGTGCTGAGAGAAAAAAAAAAACACTTGTTCCAAACCACAGCCCTTTTAATCTCGATTATAGAATTTTGCCACTATCAGCCTCTTCATTAATTACCTGATAATCAGCAACATCAATAGCAATTAAGAATGTGCTATAGTGCTGCCAAAGAGCAAATCGGAAGGGCCACAAGATGAGTAGCTCTTCCTTACAGGTATCCATATAAACTGCTCCTAAAAATGTAAAGGTTATATTACTAACACTATTTCTAAGATTTCAGTAAAACTTTTCAAAGTGTTTTTTTCTCAGCATCCTCTTCAAGAAATGTGCTGGTTTACAGTTCTGGATTTTACCCCCAGACCAGCAGACACAGAGCTCTGTGTGTGTCTACTAGTTGTCCACTGTACTTCAAAGCAGACCTTTGGTTGAGATGAATAGTGTCACTGTGAGCATTTACCGCATCACATTTTACACAGTTCTAATAAAAACCGCTATCTTCATCCATCAGGACCATGACAAGGTTCAGGACAATTGTCAGCCCAGTTAAAACAGTCAGCAGGACAATTACTCAGCTGAAAGGTCAGGCAGTGAGCTCCAGTTGAGCTCTGTTCACTGCTATTGATCAGTGCTGCTCTGCAGCTCTGAACAACAATGTCCTCAGACCAAGAGACTCATAGCAAACACACAAGTTCGGGGGCCTGCCAAAGTCAGTCCTTAGCCATTATTGACTCCTGCAGAAGACTAAAAGAGCCCTCTTGAAATCACATCCATCTGAATCTTCTGGCTCATACAGTAAGTGAACCTGGTAACCTCTTACAATGCTTAGTGTTGTATGAAGATGATGTTCAGGCTGTGTCTCCACCTTTGGCCTGTTACTTTCATCAGCCTCATTCACCCACTGCACTGCCACTCATGAATCCGAGTTTAAAAACAGCTGAAGATTGCAGAGAACGCTTGTCTCCTTAACAAATTTTGTCTGCTGGGTATGCTGTCCATCTGTCTTGCATCAAGCAAGTTGTGAGCTGCATCATTCACACATGGATCCCCTGGCAGAATCAAGCATTCTTTTATACAGTTTTATGAAGATATTTTTTGGTACTCTGTAAGCTCCAGGTTAAAGGTTCCTGCTTAAATATACAGTATATATACATTATGTGTCTTAGGTTCAGCTACATTTTATGGCAGCATAAACTCTCATATACAGTAGGAAAGCTCAATTATGTGCTTAGGGAAGTCTGGTAAAACACATTCTTCTAGAAGTGAACACATCGAAATTCCTTCTTCTCTCGCCCTCTTTATCTCTGTCTCCCCCTCTCCAAGTTCAGTATTAGTTATATTGATAGATCTCTTAATACATCTGAAACCAGATTAGAGCACACTTGACTCTGTGAAAAATAATCTCCCCTCTAGGCAGTGGCCTTCTAGGCTGATCGATGGCAGTCGAAACATCACTTGACAGAGTGTCTCTGATTTGTCCACAGTGTAGAACAGACAAGAGACCCCATGTCCCATCGATCAGCTATGCTCCCTGTGCCCCCTGCCTGCCCCTCTGTCACTGAGACACGGAGTCACAGACATGCTGTCTCCCCCTCAGCACTGCCTTCAATCGCTATGCGAGACTCCAGATTTTCAGAGCTACGTTTGCCAGAGTCACACGCATGCTTACAAATGCACAAAAAAACTCATATACCAAACTACACACAAACCTACAATCAACGTATACAGTACTGTACAAGGTGTATATAGTATTTTTGCGTTTTAAATTCAATTTAGAATTTTGGGGGGATTCAATTTCCTGACAAAACCTGATGCATTTTTAATGAACAAAACACTGCAATCATGAATTTTCTAGGAAGGTGACAAGCTGCTCTTTCATCAGCTCATTGCAAAACATCAGAATGAATGTTCCAATGAATGGAAAACTGTTGCATTATTTGGGTTTTTCAATCATAGCAATATCTCTTTTGTAATTAACAAAAATAGTGTGTTCCCCAGCAGTCCAGAACAAAGATAAATAATGCATCAAAGTCAAGTGATAAACCAAAGTGTCTCTTTAATTCTGAATGTGGAAAGAAATATTGGATTATCTAGGAAACCTTCACAATGAGGTCAACGAAAAAAACACCAAAAACCTCCATTATTCTTCAGTCATGAATCACTCAGGGACGTATGAGATTGTAATTGCACAAATAGAACAGAAATGTTACAAGTGACACTTCATTAGATAATCAAAAAGTGTGCCTTTCTGGCAATCTAAGGGCAGACGAATATCCCCCTATAAACATTAAAAAATAATAAAACTGGGAGGACTTTTAAAATGATGGATAGTGTAATTCTCAAGGGCCTTTAGGAGAAAGATAGTGCAATTTGCATAATAGGGCAGAGTGTGTCATTAATGAACCAGTAGCCCTACGTGTGCACTCACACACACACCTAAGGAGGAGATAAAAACTCTGTTTGCTCAGGACACAGTATATTGAGCCATCACTAACTGATTTTCAGCTCCACTGAAGCTTGGTTTGTTTTTGCTTAACAGGAACCAGCAATTACAGAAGCCGAAGGAATTCATGAAGGGAGCTTCGGAAAATGAAGAACCAAATCTCCTCTCCTCTCTGTCTCCGGGAGGAGATCAGTGCCAGCCTGCTGCCAGAACTCCAAACTGCTTTCAGGAAAGTGACTGTGCTGCATTTACACATTTTTGCAAAAACCAATTAAGATGTCGCAAATGTGTAAATCGGCATTAAAGGCCTAGCAGTGGCACTAATAAACCATTGAGGGCTTCGCATACTGTATTTCTGTGGAAACTTTAATTGCCAGTGGGAGACAAAATCTTCAGTTCCTGTCAGTAAAATTTTGTGTGGAAAGAATGTTTGTGAGTGTGGCATTTTTCACAGAATATATCATTTGTGTGGCTGCACTGAGCAGACCTAAGCTTAGTGCTTTTTCAGGTATCTACATGTTTTTCATATATACTTACTGTACTTACTGTACATTTCCCAAGTTCTCATGATTGGGAAACTGGAAATTTATAAGATTACTTTTTTCTACCTTATAGCATTCAAAATAAAAATGCTAATCCTGTGTACTCCCCTGTGCCTTTCAAAGTGAAACAAAATCATGTTCTTGTCAATAAGCATTAAACAATACATTGTATAGTTAGTAATGTTATTAGTAGTAGTAGTAGTGTAAGCATTACTACTTGACAAAATAGAAGCTCGTTTCTATTTTATGTATTAAACAGAAAGCCAAAATGCAAGAATAGTGCTAAGAGCTAGATAGAAGGGCATCTTGTCCTGAGGCAAGGGATGAAGTTTGAAAGGAAAAGAGATAGTATTCTTCTCTAAAGCAGTCTTTCTCAGTGGCAGGGTTGCTGTGGTATATTTAGTAAAGGGGTATTTCCACCTTGAGATAGCTGGGCTCTGCTTTTTGCTCTTATATCCTTTCACAAGGATTAAGAAAAGTAAATGATAAATGTAAAAAAAACACAGTCATGAATGAATGAGGCCTTGGTAGCCTTTTTTATGGCACAGAGCCCAAGATGAGCACTCCTTGGATGGGATCCCTATCCATCGCAGGGCACACATGGACACAAGGACACAGAGATAATTCAGAGAGCATGTCATTCAGAGATGGGAGGAAACCGGAGTATGCGAAGGAAATTTCACAAGGACACCAGGCGAGCATGCAAACTCCACACAGAAGATACTTTAGTCCCGACATGAAGCCAAAACCAAAGAGCAGTGAGGCAGCAGAGCTTGCCCCAGAACTATTATTGTCAATAATTTAGAAAATGCATTATACATTTTGAAATAATTTATGAAACACAGTATCCATGTTTTCCAGAAAATGTGTCAATACAAGAAAGCCTAAGAGCCACTCGTGCATTTCAAAAACATTTTTCTCCTGTCCTTTTTCATGAGCAACGTTTTGCTTGATTGCCTCATTTGTCTTTCTGTTGCCAACATTACATATGAAACTTACACCACAGCACTCTGTTATAGTTTCTGGAGGTCATGGTTAACCAGGACACTGTCAGGAGACATAAACACCAACAGAATTTCTGCAAAGCTTTTTTATGAAATGTGTTTTTTATAACTAAGGGGAGATAGAGAAAAAATGCCTGTTATTGACAACATGACACATACTAGAGGGGCTGCATGCTGCTAACATTCATGGGGAGTTCAAACTGAAGACAGTGTGATCACAGAATGACTTCCAAGAATGAATGTTCCAAGGAAATTACAGAGTTTCGGGAATGTCCCCCCACTGGGTCCACACATGCTATTTCGTTCAGTGCTTTAACCAACTGAGCTGTTGCTCAGACAATGAGTTGACGGAAACCAGCACTGAGAAAACCGTCACAAAATGTAAAAATTAAGGGAAAAAATGGGACCATTCCTCAGATCGATGGGTCGATTTTCAACCAAACCTCCCTCTGAAGTACAGAACCCATGCTGCTCCGACAACTTGGAAAGGATGCATTCAGAGGGAAGGTTTGTTAGCCTAGTTTTCATTAATGGCACAATGGCAAGCACTGCTGTCATGCTGGAGTTTGCCCTGGCATTGGTCCAGGTTCAATTCCGGACCAGGGGTGTTATCCGTATGGAGTTTGTGTGTTCTCCCTTGGTTAATGTGGTTTTCCCCTGGGTGCTCCAGTTTCCTTCCACAGTCCAAAGACATCCTGAAAATTGGATCTGGTGTGAGTGTGTGAGTATATTTGTGTCTGAGTGTACCCTGTGATGGACCCACAACCCTGAATTGGAAGAAACAGTTAGAAAATGGATGGATGGAGGAATTTCTGTGGGACTCTCGCTGAAGCAAGCGTTTGTTGTAGGATTATTGTGGGATTATGCCAGTTCAGTTATTCAGTTCTGAAGTGCATCCACAGTCTTCTGGTCAGATCTAATGGTTATATGAATTGCACAAAAGCGATCATTAGCATTTATGCCATATGATGTTCCAAACACTACTTGATTTCTGAAGTGTCATCGTACCAGCAGCTCACTTCTCACTGAGTAATAAATACTATCAAGCTGGCAGGCTGCTTCCCATCATTTCGCAAGGTAAAGTAGTATTGGCAATCTAACAGTACTGATTAGTTCCGATTACACCATTGCATGGCAGTAATTATATTCCTTAACATGATGCGAACGAAGGGAGTCAATGCTCTCTCACACCTGCAGACAATTTTCTGCATTCAGTTGAACAACAATTTTTACAATTGCACTTGATCTAAAATAATAGCTTGAGTCACGTGAGTTGCATTCGATTATTTGCCTCAAATTGAAAAAAAAATACAATGTTGTGAGAACTGTGGTTTATATTGCGTTTACTCTCATTTCCCTTTGTGGTCTGTAGACACGTTGTCAAGGTTAACTGGCATTTTCAAATGTGTGAGTGGATGATTTTGTGTGTGCCTCATTCAGGGAATAGTCTTGCCTTGTGCCTGTTCCAGCTGGGTTAAACCAAGGATCATGGCAACACACTAGAGGTAAAGAATTAACCTAGATGTATCAATCCATCACACTACACTTGCATTAAGAATTCTCCACACACTAACGCTGTATTAAATAGAGTTAACAAATAAAATATGAAAATCAAAATGTCCAAATCACATCAAATTTAAAAAGAACAGAAATTGGTTCAGTAACATCCTTTACTTCAGTGGAAGCAGCAATGTGAGTTACCAAGTGCCTCTGGTGCCACAGTTATATCTTAAAAGCAGAGAAAAGAAGAAACGGTGAAAGTGATGCCACTTTTTTTTCTGTTAGCCTTTCCTTTTCCTTTAACTACAGTCTTGAAAACATCAGGAGTAAACGATGAAAATTTTAAAATGTGTCCTTCTGTTTTTAGAGTGGACTTTTGTGATAAAATACCCCAGGCTGACCTCAGGCTGTATTGATCACATAGTTCAGGTGGGTAGCTGCGTCAGCATGCGTAGTCTGCAAAGGAACAAGTAATAGGTTTATCCCATGCTGAAAACAGAAAAGAGAATACACAACGTTTTGGCTATGAAGCCTTCTTCAGGTGTGTGAAGCACACTCAGGAGCACACACCAGAAAAAGGCTTCACAGCCAAAATGTTGTGTTTTCTCTCTGCTGTTTTCAGCCTGGGATAAACCTATTGCTTGTTCCTTAGTATCGATCACTATACCTGGTCAGCACTGTTATAATCCCACAAAACCCCCACAACACACACTTGGTTCAGCAAGGGACCCACAGTAATCCCTTCATCCATCCATTGTGTAACCCCTTCTTCCCATTCAGGGACTTGGCAGACCTAGAGCCTATCCCAGCAAGCAAGGAGCACAAGGTAGGGAACACCCTGGAAGGGACACCAGCCCATCGCAGGCTAGACAGTCCCACAAAAATCTACCTGAAGATTTATGACTAATTCTATGAAGCATCACGTGGTAAATGGTGCAAAATCTAGGTTAAATGTTTTGTGTTGCATTATCTTACAGTCTTGCTTTCATTTGTCATCACGTTAGTCTCATCAGTGTTGCAGAGAGGTTTATGGTATGGATGTAAATAGCATTGTCAAAACATGGGTGGAGCACTGGGGTGAAATTCTGTACCCTTCTGACTCTGCTTTAGCTAAACGCTCTGCTTTAGTGCTCAGATCCTGAAGGTCAGGGATGTTTTTTAATGCTGAATATAGCAAAGCCAGTCTATTACAAGTGGAACTCATTTTAATAGCTTATTTACCCTGTGATTTATGTTCCTGGCATTTGGTTTTGTTTTTCCCAGTAAACCCATTACTTTTTACTGCATTTTGGTTCCTGGTGGACGATTACTATAAAATTGCCTCTCTTTGTTAGGGCAACATCGACATTTTTTAATCATTTTATAAAGACCTCCGCACTTTCTACAAATAAATGTCAAAATTTCCTCTGAATTGTGTTCTAGCTTTATTCAAATCACAGAAAATATCTAGCAAAAATATATTTTTCTATATATATACAGTACATAGTGCACCAAGCATCGAAGGTTCACACATAACAGAAGTTTGCACAATGCAGTTGTGCTTTGTCTCACAGCAAGATATCTCTAGAAATTAATTCAAAAATACATTTTTTAAATGTAAAATATAAATATTATTTCTCTTAGCTCTATAGCATGAAGTAAATGAATAAGTCACAGTGAAAATGTTAGTTTCATCATATTTATTAAAACCCTTCTGGAAGAAAAAAAAAGCAATCAAAGAAATCTGTAAAACCATGTTTAATGTATGAAATTTTAATTAACATCTTATTTCTGCTATAATTATATGCATAGCTATTAAGTGTCCCTGTGTATGACAGTTATTTGCACAGTAACTACATGCAAATGACACTTAGCATGCAGTAACCTTTCGCTATCTATTTATATGTAAATCAATGTATTAATCGCTGAGCCCTCATTAAGCATGGCAAGCAGTCAAAAGCAACAATTCCTATTATAATGTCACTGAACTAAGTGCCTTTGCTGTTAGAACAAGACAACAAGCCCTCACTACTAGCTTTATAGCATACAGTAAAGTAACAGAGATGTGATTCCGCTAGAGGTACATAAACCACTACTGATTAAAAAGTTTATCAGCAAAGCTCCTCTTTAAAATGCCATGTTGCCTGTTCCATAAGGCTGCTTTCACCTCCAGCAGCATGATTTAGTCGGAAGACCCACAGGACTTCCTGTGAAAGGACTAGGCTTTCCCTAGAATTATGATGGAGAAATGGACCAAGGGGACAGTGGGGGTGCTGGTTTTGAAATAAGGAGGGATGATTCATCTACAGTAATTGCCCCACAGAAAGATCTGAACAAGTGTGGTCAAGGTAAACCTGGTCCTTGTCAAACCACTTCATTTAGAAACTGTCTGAACTCCGCTT